TTTTTTTTTTATAATTGTAGCAATTAGATTTGTTTTCTTTCTTTTTTTATATTTACGAAAGTTCATAAGAATTTGGCGGTTGTTGGTTTTTTCCTGCAGAATTCAGTTATACCGTATTTAACGTGAAGAAATTTAACATTTTATGTTACTCTTATGACCAATATCAGTGAAATCTATATATTTATAGCGAGTTAACTTTAAACTATAAGTTAGTTTTGATCTGAGTAAAGTATGTCGCAACAAAATCCATTAAACTGTAAAGAGATCATTTTCTTGTTAGATAAGGTGGCATTGTCGAAAAAAGAAATAATGAATACTCAGACACCCAAGAGCCTAATGGGTACCAATGTTATCCTTATTTAAACGTACCAAACGTGAAATATCCGAATATCTAACACATACTGTACACGTACATTAAAACATCCATGCAGCATTACATCAGTTATAATTATTATTTCATGCCTAACCGTCCATCAACACAGGATAGGTTACTAAGGCCAATAAACGGTTGACGAAAAATAAATTTAAAAAAAAAATCAAACAAAGTTAAAGGTAAAAGACAATGTCATTTGGGATATTAAAGGGGCTATGGTGACTCATTATTCAACTGCAAAAAGACCCGATGATATACATAACATTAGAAATTATCGTAGGGTAATACAATTAACAAAGCATCAAGATTAATGATTCTGATAATAAAAAAGTGATACATTGTTTTAGAAACGTTGCCCTCCACCGAATTCAAAACTTCACCCACTATTGCGATGTTCCTGGGAAAAGTTTCTTAAGACAATTTTATGTTTGTTTGGGTCCCATAGTAGTCGCTTCGTACAACCAACATGCAGTGATATAAAGCAAATCTATTCTTTCCTCGAACCTGCAGAGTGCAACACTTTTATGAAGGAATGAAATAGTAACTAAAAAGTGAGGTTTGATAAAGAGATTACGGAAAACATATCTGCATAGCGACTAAACAGCATATACTACTTGGATCAAGTGCCCTTTAACATAAAATATATTGATTTGATTACTTCATTATCAACTTATGTACATTCAGAATGATATATAAAGGTAAAAACTAAACAAACATGAACAAAATGAATGAAATAAAATATAATAGGACACCGATTAAATACAATCTATTCCTTGCTAATACATTGATTTCCTTTAACCAAACCCAAGAAAATTCCTATGCGCATCCATACGAATTTTGTAACGTCATTCTAACATATTATCTCATTCAATCGAGAAACTTATGAGTGACATTGCGTTTGATGGTATTCCACAACTTCATCGTTTTCTCATTTTGAGTTAGCAAAATGACGCTCAGAAATTGTCAGGACACTTCCGAAACGCCATATCCATACATCAATGCATTTATTTATCCGTGAACAAATTAGCTTATAATGTTGAAGCCAAAAAAAATGAATGTGAAAGTAAAGCATTAAAACAAGGAATAACGAAATGAAAACAAAACCAATGGGAACGGAGGGTTAAGCTTTTTTCTGTTTTATTCACGACATGTAAAACTATATCTAATCAAGAATAAAGGCATCAAAGCATGAACCGCAGTAGTGATAACAAATCAACATGGCAAATTAATGAGTAGTATGGTACCCTGGTTAAACACGAGCTGTTTCCTACCGACATGGCTAGGAATGAGTAAACCGTAGATTCTGGAGTGGCCCCTCGCTGAGGCATTGACAAAACTCATGTGCTCTGTTATTCTGGCGCCCGACGAGCGGCCCGAGAAATACTGACCACAAAAATAAGAGATATTGTTACAAGAATCATTGTGATCTTGAGTAAAACAATTCGGTACTAGTTTTGTTACCGGGAGCGGGAGTATGTCAACCTGATCAAATACTAGCCGCTTCCTACCAACTCTAATTTAGCTCATGTGGTAGAGCGTCAGACATGTAAACAGAGAGGTCCCGGGTTAGACTGCCAGCAGTGTAGTTGAAACACTAATGATCTTGGTTACAATCCCAATAAAAGTATCAACGTTAATCAAACAAGGAAAAACTTCTCAACAAGACCATGATGATAACCGTAACCCATGGTCGTAATAAACGTTGTAATATTGTCCGCCAGCATGTTATAAGGGTGTAAAAATACAAATATATATATAATGCAATAACATCACAAACCATAGAAATACTTACTAGAAATAACTTACATATATAATATAAAAAAAAATCAAAAATATAATTGCTTTTGATGATTTTGTTATGGTTAATTACTTTTGGGTTTTGGTTTCGTTTTATATGGTCTTTTTAACGTCCAATCAAAAGATACGGTCATTAAAGAACATGCGTTTTGTGTATGCGTGCATGTAGGTATGCATGCCGGAGGTAGGGTATGTTAGTGTATGTTCTATTTTACAATTAAGTTATCTCTTCTTACGAGTTTAGATATCAAGTTATTACATCTTATCTTGGTGTTTTTTTTTATCTTGTTATAGCGTGTTAAGCTAAATTCGTGCTGTTTACTTAAGAGGATCTCGTTTGGATGCAAACAAAAATCATCACTGTACGATAACTCGTCCGTACAAATTTTCATCACCATATAACATCCTTCAAAACAGTATCAAGACTGACATGACCTATTTTAAGTTTGGATACTTTAGCGTACTTGCATTTCCTTCAGACGTCTGGGGTTTGATGAATTGCATATTAACGCAAAATCAATATGCCTTAACATGAATTGCTTCTTTGTAAATGCAGGATTGCAATCAAATTAAAGTAGACTAGTCTTCATCAGCTAGCGGTGTTCCACGTGCGTAATAATCGTAATCTTATATTGACAGGGTGACCTACACTTTTATTCAACTGGGATCTAAACATGTACAGACATGGGACCTATACTGGATAACCATAACTTGTAATAACACCATAACTTAATTTGTAATAACGAGATTGCTATATTCGTAACAACGATGAAATATTTTGTGTGGTAGTTATCGGTTTTCGTTCTTTTGCATAATGACTATTATAATGATAAATTAGGTTGTCCGAAATGATTATTGTGTTAATAATGAAATATATTTTAAACGATCTTAATCAGAAAAAAAAGATAAGGAACCTACTTCTAACACGTAACATTAACATTTATTTTAAAAGTCATAACGATGTAAAAATGTGTTGTTTTCTGCCCGGATTTTGAATTACACCCCAAGACATCCATGACATATGTGCAAAACATAACATCAGCACTATTTAATAAGCCGGCTATACTGTTTCCTCCAAAAGTTGCCATTAGTATTATCCTATTTCTTGAAGTAGATCAATTAAATTCGATAAACTATCTGCAAAATAAACCATGCTATAAAAATAATAATAATAATAATTCGAGGTTCTTTTATACCGCTTTATCACAACCTAGTTCATAGGTCGTCTCAAAGCTGTTCACAAATTATTGTCCGTGGATATAGGGCCTTTGCAACCAGCCAATATATTTCTCAACTACCTGGGGAGCACACAGCCGGTGCTGCCATTTCGGCGTTAACAGCTAGCATTCTACAATTTTAGCACTACCGAACCACGTAGTCATTTAAAGCTGAGTAAACCGAAGCAAGCGGAGTAAAGTATATTGCTCAAAGATACAACACAGTGACGTGAGTCGAACTCGCAACCCTTCGGTCATGAGTCCGGTGTCCTACCACTAGACTACCGTGCCTCCGTGATCTAATCCGCGAATAAAAAAGATCTTATTTTCCCCCTATCCTTTTCAAGTAATGAATATAATACATATATATCAGGGTGTGCGAATTGTTATTGTGTCAATTGTAAAATATTTTTAAACCATCTTAATCACAGGACAGAGAAAGTAATTACTGCTTACACGTGACATTGATATATATATTAAAAAACCATAATGATGTAAATATTTTTTGTTTTCTGCCCTGAAAACATCTCCAACTATTTTGAATTGATCCTTTCATCTTTCACATACATAAGCGAACAGTAACGACACGGACAAGCAACCGGATTTTGAATTACACCTCAAGGCTTTAACTAAAACTGTCCTAACATATCAGAAAATCGAATTATTTTTTAATCCAGCTAAACTGCTTCAAATTAAAAGTTGTCGTTGTTCTCATCCTCTTCTGGAAACAGATATATGCACTTTGACAAATTAACATCTGCAAAATAAACCCTGTTATCTAATCCGCAAATGCATGTACAATATGTCAATGAACTGTTCCCCTCTGTACCATGCGCAAAAATACACTATCTACCTCTACTTAACCTTATATCATACTGCTGCAAAAAATCCGTAACAATTACATTAGTTGATTGCTCTACAAATGATTTTCTTAATTGCATGTCCAGGCAGTAAATATGAACTCTCTCGCCGTGAATATATCAACACGATTGAAGGACGACTAATGCAATGAGAGCTAGTTTCGTCTCGGTATCGTAATAATTTGCACAATATTTGAGGATTTGCTTCGCATTCCATCGATTTAAAATAGGTGACGGCAATTTGTTTCGTAATACAATATTTGCAGTATTATAAACTCATTATGTACAATTTATGCAAGGACTTTTGAATCTGCAATATATATTTTTTGTCTCGAATCTGACCAACGAAATATGTTTAAAGATTAGTATTATGATTCAATAGAAGTTAGCTGTTGTGGTCTCGTATATTTTTGTCATGTCAAATTGGCGAATTTACAATTAGTATTATCCACAGTTTCGCCAATACAAAAAAAACACCAGGTAATTCTTGTAATTTTGCATGCCTGCTGTCAACATCCGACTTATTGAATCACCTCCTTTAACACGAGTTTAAGTATTGATGATACATAACCTGTTTGGGTTATGAATCATTCTTTCTAAGTTGTTCCTTTTAGATGTCTTCCTGTCGTCCATCTCTCTGCTTGTCTGTACCATCACCATTTCCGTCGTGATCTGTGACCGCTCCGTCTGCCAAATTAAGTTCAATCACTTTAACCTTTTTTTTTATATAAAATGTCAGAGGGGAAACTACAATCTAAGTACAATGATTTCAAGCTATGTTTCGAATATTTTATATGTCTCTTATGGATTTTCTCGTGAAATAGAAAACTCATTCTAGGTTACCTCAAGGCATCAAAACTGTCAAATCGCAAGAGTAAGACATTGATACTTGGACTGTATCAGAGAAATACACTTTGTAAAAGCAGACCAATCTCACCGATACGCTGCCGTGAAATTAACTTTTTTTGTATCAAAACATGTCCCTAGATAACAGGAACCCAGAATTCAATAACAGAGACCAGACAAATCACCTCGCGAAACGGACTTTTACATGAGAATGTCAAGGGTTTCAGTTAAGATAGACAAACAAAACGGTAAACTTTTGATTCGAAAATGAATTACTGGTATTATTTTATTGGACATTAGGTTGATATTGCACCGCTTTATTTTCCGTTTTATAGGATGTATTACACGAGCACGAAGTTTTTCTAAACAAGAACTAAAGATTAACTCTATCAACGAAAAATATATAGTTTCGTGTATACCCGATAAATATATGCCAGGTGAAGATATGGTTAAGAGTTATCTTTATCACTGGGGCCGGTTCGTTTTATTTTAAAAGAGTTGCTATGATGGACATCAAATCAAACGATGTGGCTGGTTAAATGATGAAATTGTGGTCACACTTGCTTTTTTAACCTATTCTGCAAACCTATATTTAGCTTTTAAACAATAACTATATTGCGTGACATAAATTTACCTAAATTACGGTTAGATTAATCGCTGGTATCTCCATGAACACTACTTTTTGTTGCCTGACTATTACAAAGATAGTTCAGATAGTTAAATAATAATTAAACTTTAGACTCGGGATTTACTCCCAAGTTTTCTCCGACCTTTCCAGTAACCGAGATCAGCGAAATATAGAACGTGAGCTTGTAATAAATAACTTTATGCAATATCATGCGACGTCATAGTTATAGAAGATAGTTACCTGCAGAAATATATTATGCATTTCTGCATTCTTTGTGTGATCTTATCAATACCATATATGGTTTACTACTAAAAAGAAAAAGAAAAGCAGAATTTCCATTAGATAAGATATGTACATGACGAATGACTACCTTTTTGTGCCTTTCCCGTTTTCTGTACTTCCGCATACATCGCTGATTCTTGGGCCCCTTTCTTTGGTTTAATCACCTCTGCGTAAAGCTTGGTTTCTGCGACATTAGCCTTTGCTTTGGATTTATTCACAACAGCAAACACATCTCCAGATTGATTTCCAGTACTCGGACCGGGTTGTTGTGGATAATATGGACCAGCAGATTCATATAATACGTTATCTTTCAGTCCATCTGAATAATGTAAAAAAATGTTTATTGTAAATAAACATACCTTATTGATATGTTATGTAATCCTTCAATGTTATATAACCTTATTACTTGAAACCATCACCGGTATTTGCTAAACCAACAACGGATAATTTGAAATGAATAATGTATTGATAGCACGAAACGAGTTCGCATAAACAGGCTAATCTGCATCAAAAACAACAAACAACATGAAGCACGTGCATGTAATACAATCTGTTGTATATTTATCAACTGCAATTGTAACTATATTTCATTAAATTTTAGGCTTTAAACAAAGAAAAACGGATTTCTATTGTTCTTAATTAATGACAGATTTCGCTTTTAGATAATGTGAAAATATTCACCAAGTTTCATCAGAATCCTGTACTATTTGATTAAGTTAGTATGCGGAAAGCTAAGTTGAACTATCAGAGCATAGTACGCTCATTTTAGTTATGTACAGATTTTGTCCAACTTCGAACAAAGCCCAAGTCTTCGTATAATGTAAAGGTATATCAAGTTTCATCATAATTGAACGATTTTAAAGAAAATTATCTAGCGGAAACAAAGGTACGGAAGTACGAACGAACAGTCGGATAAACGCTCCCCATACAATATTACGCCCCGTCAGTTTGTTGGGAGTATAAAAGAATGCTTTACATATTATATATACAATGCTAAATTATTGTTTCTATTTGCGTATTTCCAATAAGGCATACAATGCATTCGACATGTTTTAGTCTTTGACGTGTTCCAATTTCCCAATATTACTACCAGACTTCCTTAATGGGGGAAAAAGATCATGAACGCACAGATGTTAATGTTAAAGGGTATATTAAATTACAGGATACTTCAAAAATATGAAAAATGAACAGTAACCAGCTACATTTACTGAGATCATATATTTTGATCGCTTACCATTCTTAGCTGCAATGCCTCTCTTTTTCTTCTTCACCTCGGCGTATTCAGAAGACTTTGTGACCTCTTTCGCTGGACTGTGGACCACGATCTCAACTAAATATATAATACAAATAGTAATTTCATGTCATTATAAACTATGTCCTGCAAATTAATTATCTGTGACACGAGTAAATTTAGCTTTTAAACAAAAACTATATTGCGTAGCATAAATTTACCTAAATTTCGGTCAGATTAATCGCTGGTATCTCCATGAACACTACTTTTTGTTGCCTGACTATTACAAAGAGGGTTCAGATAGTTAAATAATAATTAAACTTTAGACTCGGGATTTACTCCCAAGTTTTCTCCGACCTTTCCAGTAACCGAGATCAGCGAAATATAGAACGTGAGCTTGTAATAAATAACTTCATGCAATATCATGCGACGTCATAGTTATAGAGGATAGTTACCTGCAGAAGTATATTATGCATTTCTGCATTCTTTATGTGATCTTATCAATACCATATATGGTTTACTACTAAAAAGAAAAAGAAAAGCAGAATTTCCATTAGATAAGATATGTACATGACGGATGACTACCTTTTTGTGCCTTTCCCGTTTTCTGTACTTCCGCATACATTGCTGATTCTTGAGCCCCTTTCTTTGGTTTATTCACCTCTGCGTAAAGCTTGGTTTCTGCGACATTAGCCTTTGCTTTGGATTTATTCACAACAGCATACACATCTCCAGATCGATTTCCAGTACTCGGACCGGGTTGTTGGGGGGAATATGGACCAGCAGATTCATATAATATGTTATCTTTCAGTCCATCTGAATAATGTAAAAAAAGTGTTTATTGTAAATTAACATATCTTATTGATATGTTATGTAATCCTTCAATGTTATATAACCTTATTAATTGAAACCATCATCGATATTTGCTAAACCAACAACGGATAATTTGAAATGAATAATGTATTGATAGCACGAAACGAGTTCGCATAAACAGGCTAATCTGCATCAAAAACAAACAACATGAAGCACATGTATGTAATACAATCTTTTGTATATTTTATCAACTACAATTGTAGCTATATTTCATTAAATTATATATGCTTTAAACAAAGACAAAGGGGAATGGGGAAGGAATTACCAAATGAAATTGATTTCATTGGAAGTGATAACATGTGTATATATCAAACAAAGGATAGAGAAATGAAATTGTCTTACAACAATAAATACCAAACGCATTTCTATTGTTCTTTAGTTAATGGCAGAGTTCGTTATTAGATAATGTGTAAATATTCACCAAGTTTCATCAGAATCCTGAACTATTTGATTAAGTCCAACTTCCAACAAAGCCCAAGTCTTCGTATAATGTATAGGTATATCAAGTTTCATCATAATTGAACGATTTTAAAGAAAATTATCTTGCGTAAACAAAAGTACGGAAGTACGAACGGACAGACGGATAAACGCTCCCCATACAATATTACGCCCCGTCAATTTTTTGGGAGTATAGAAGAACGCTTTACATATTATATATACAATGCTAAATTATTGATTCCATTTGCGTATTTCCTATTAGGCATACAGTGCATTTGATTTGTTTTAGTGTTTGGCGTGTTCCAATTTCCCAATGACACTACCAGACTTCCTTAATGGGGAAAAAAGATCATGAACGCACAGATGTTAATGTTAAAGGGCATATAAAATTACAGGATACTTGCGACACTTAAAGTTGTTACGTGTTTGCACGTGAAATATGCAAAATTAATCTTTAAAATATTACTTTTTACTGCATCAGTCCAAAATACTGTGTTTCCTATCACTAGTAATTCCCCATGTGACAGCGCTGATCTGCAGCAGACTTTTCAGTGCAATATCACTGTAACACCATACATGTTCATAAAATGTACCTGCTGCACAGTAATAAAGTTGTCAATATATACGCACAGTATCACTATAAATTCAATTCATAGATGCAGGGTTTGTTTGGGGTTAAACGTCCCCACAACAACTAAGGTAAAGGGTAAGAACATTTCAGGAGAAGATTTATAGATCCATAGTGTTGAAATTGAGGCTGCAGCTCAAATTTGGTCCAATCGTTTTCTTTTAAGCAGAAGACACTACAGGAACCTCCAGCTTATAACAAGTGCGCCTCTAACGACAGCAGGTTTATCCATTCCCCGAACCTGTAGAGGTTTCATGTAAACGTGCATTGATGACCCAAAGAAAAAGAATCATAAATCATTAGATCAGTGAAAAGGTAATGATACACTCACCATTGTCATAATTAGATCTTGCAGTGCACGCAACATTGGTATCATCAGATCTGAATTAAGGAGAATATAATCACCTTCGCTGATTGCAAAAGTAAATGGCTCATAAAAACAATGATAAAGCATGAAACAAACACTATTTCACCGAAATATACAACAAAATATTTCTCCAGTTGTGATGTTGAATCTTTAATGTATAATCCTAAAACACACAACATGTTTACTATATATATAAATATTTAATTTGCATAGGGTATAATTTACGTTGAAGTGAAAATAGCAAATACTGATGTTTCGTATACATACATGTAGTCACATATTACGATTTGAAATGTAATAATGTACTCCCTTAAGTTGTACAGTTTCTGATTGAATATATATTTTCCTTGCAATTCAATCATATTTTTCCACGAAAAATGGCCCCGAATACAAAAGGTCTTCATTGTCCTAGTACATCCTACTTGATCTACATTGATAAGACATTCATACAATTCGATACACTTTCCTTTTCATGGTTACTCAATGATTTTAAACATACCTGAATACCTAATTATAAGTGTTTACTCTTTTTTTAACGTTGGCATTGTACGATGATAGAAGTCTAGCTCCTTCATAATTAATATTTAACTCAAATAATTTAACGCTCCATTGTTTATGATAACTNATTGTTATCATTACTATATTCTTAACGGCCCATCAACACAAAATTAACCTCATTATAATGCGACTGGTCGGAGAACTGTGATGGGTGTCATAGGCGAAATACTCCAGTTAGAATGCACTATACAGTCGGCAATAGGACCAATTGGTTGTATATTGCTTTACGTCCTATTAACGGCCAAGGTCGTTAACGGACGTGGCGTAATGCGTGTTGTGTATTCGTGCATGTGTGTCGGAGACAAGTGAAGTTGGTGTTTTTGCCTCCTTACGATATTGCGGCTCTGATGCCGACTTTGTAGTGCTACATTAGGGCCAATAACAGGTCAATACAACATGTTAAGGGAAATGACATCAAACAAATGAAAAGGTAAAAGACCACTTAATAAGTAAAAATGACTATGAATATTGTTTGAACAGACCAACAGTTGTCAAGTAGTTAAGATTGAAGGGACACTCCCTGTTTAAAAAAGAGATTTGTAATAAAAAACGATCCCGGGAGTTTAACTGTAAATTATTAGTGACACGTGCTATGCATCGATGTGGCACGTCATTAAATAGGAATTGAAATATTGATTCCTATAAATAAAGTGTCGTGTTTCATTATATCACGGGGTATATACTTACTCTGTTTCAGTATGTTCTGAAAGAAATCAAAGAAATTAAGTAACCATGAATGTTTATAAAACACTATATTAATAACACCGGAATGAATCAATATTTTTTCCATAAAGAAACAGATGTCTAGACACATTACATGCAATAAGTAAAAATTGTTTAAGGTGTTGTCTTAAAATAACAGAATCCTTCAAACAGATATGCACTTACTTGGTTCAGATGATTTCTTCCTACGACGAATCAGGACAACTATAACACATGCAATCAGGATAGTCGCAGATGCTGAACTTGCAGCTCCACCAATTATTGCAGCATTCCAACCATCTGCCTCTGCTACAAATGGATGGAAATGCTTTCATAATATTTACATAACACAATAAATGTATAGGGGAAGGCATGGAATGTTTAATTTTGGTATCGTTTTATTAGCTATTGATATCTTGTTCAATCTGTGTATCTTTCAAATGCGATATCTCCTCTGAAGCTTTGAAATTTGAAAAGACTTTGTACAGAAATACACCTCAGTGAAATGCCTCCTTGTTATCGCAACAACTCGCTTGTTAGCCCGTAATCAGTATAGTGTTAGTATTACTACATGTTATCAGTATGATGTAACTGGGCTGAATATCATGTTGAGTGCGCTAGGAAGGTCCATCAAGCATATCCTGCAGTACGTTTACACACATGCATTACATATAACCTTAATCATCATATGCCGTTAAATGGACGTTGAACCGTTTAAAACCAAACCAACTCAAACCCTTTATCTATTTTTGGGTTAAAGTTATGTATCTGTCACCGGACTTACTGCGTTAATAAAATAGTTCATACAGCGGACAATGAAACAAAAAATTTAAATTCATAATAGATTGGAAAACACATTTTTAAACTAAAATGTTTGTTACTATATGTCAAGAATTTTACCTGATATTGTACTGAATGTACTAGTGATGGGTTCACTTGTTCCCATTGCGTTGCTTGCAAAGACAGTAACGTCATACTCCGTTGATAAATCGAGATTTTCAACTGTGAATGATGAAATTGAATGGTTCAGGGTGATATTTGTGTGGAATTCACCGTTGTTTTCCTGACAAGTCAATGTGAATGTTTGAATATTTCCGTTGTCCTCCCCGGGGGTCCAAGATACGACGGCACTGCTTTCCGTGATTTGATCAATCAAAAGGCCTGTAGGGTGATCTGGCTTGTCTGGAAAGGATTATTTTATATTTACAAATATAACAGTCTGGAAAGGATTATTTTAAATTTACAAATATAACAATCATTTCTTAAAACAAGTTTGTGACATGCTGCTTGTTTGTCTTTTTATATCTTTCATGATATTATGACATTATATGTGTCTTCTATGTTTTATTTTGATATAACTATGAAACAATTAACATCAATATCAACATACACATATAACCAATAAATCGATTAATAATGTATCCACACATTATGTTTCTTTCGTTGCAAGATGCCCATTGCCCTCAATATATATACTGGGATTATAATTTACATATTAGCTCTAGAAAACATGTATTTTTACAAAACCTAAAACTAAATGCATCATTGTATGGTGCTGATCATTCAAACGCACACATCTGTACCTGTTAGAACAATACTGAATATCACTAACAAAATGGAGATGACATAATCAAATAAGGTAATTTAATAACGCGGTCTTAATTTTGCTGATAGTTAAACCTTGATCTTTCAGTATCTGAAACGTTCTACCGTGGACTACTTGTAATAATGATTGAAATCTGATATTAATGTTGCACACTTAACGGCTTGTTTTTCTTTTTTAAAAAAAACATTTCTCACATGAAATACAGGGAGTAGTCATATCCACATTGCTATTTGGTGATGAAAGACCGTCCAGATACGACGTATGTTTGTTGCATAGGACCGTGTTAAAGTTATGGTATCCTGCATTTACAAACTGAACTGTATTCATATTCATTTGTTTTTTTCACTACAACTTGAAAATTAAAATGGTATACTCACCTGATATAATAATTTCGAAGTCGTAATAGTAAGTATACTCATTCCAAACATACAGCTGATAGCGGCCCTGGTGTTTAGTCTCAAACGTGCTGAAGTGTAGCTGCACGATGTAACCGTCAATCGAAACGTTCTTGTTAAAGAATAGCACCGTCACTGGAACGGACGAGACCGTGACAGAAAATTCACCTTTTGGAGGTAAAGCNTGAATTAAGGAGAATATAATCACCTTCGCTGATTGCAAAAGTAAACACTATTTCACGGAAATTTACAAACAAAATATTTCTCTAGTTGTGATGTTGAATCTTTAATGTATAAACCTAAACACTCACAATATGTATAATACATATATAAATAATTAATTTGCAACGGTTAGATTTGGCTTTGAAGTGAAAACAGCAAATAATGATGTTTCGTATACATAGTCACATATTACAATTTGAAATGTAATAATGTACTCCCTTAAGTTGTACAGTTTCTGATTTAATATATATTTTCCTTAAAATTCAATCATATTTTTTCCCCACGATAAATGTCCCCGAATAAACAAGGTCTTCATTTTCTTAGTACATCCTTCTTGATCTACATTGATGAGACATTCATACAAGTTGATACACTTTCCTTTTCAAGGTTACTCAATGATTTTGTAAACATACCTGAATACCCAGTTATAAGTGTTTACCCTTAATATTTAACTCAAATAATTTAACGTTCCGTTGTTTATGACAACTCTCCACGTGATCTATGTTTGATGTTGTTCCTGTTTACCAGGTGTTCTATATTATACAAATCGTATCAAATTTATTTCAATGTACGAATTAAATAAAGATACCTTTTTATTAAGACAGATAGTATAGTCCGTTTACCGATATCGTAACATGGCGAGTAAAATTACAGCGTACATCCGTTTTGTATGTACCACGTAATTGTTATCATTACTATATTCTTAACGGCCCATCAACACAAAATTAACCTCATTATAATGCGACTGGTCGGAGAACTGTGATGGGTGTCATAGGCGAAATACTCCAGTTAGAATGCACTATACAGTCGGCAATAGGACCAATTGGTTGTATATTGCTTTACGTCCTATTAACGGCCAAGGTCGTTAACGGACGTGGCGTAATGCGTGTTGTGTATTCGTGCATGTGTGTCGGAGACAAGTGAAGTTGGTGTTTTTGCCTCCTTACGATATTGCGGCTCTGATGCCGACTTTGTAGTGCTACATTAGGGCCAATAACAGGTCAATACAACATGTTAAGGGAAATGACATCAAACAAATGAAAAGGTAAAAGACCACTTAATAAGTAAAAATGACTATGAATATTGTTTGAACAGACCAACAGTTGTCAAGTAGTTAAGATTGAAGGGACACTCCCTGTTTAAAAAAGAGATTTGTAATAAAAAACGATCCCGGGAGTTTAACTGTAAATTATTAGTGACACGTGCTATGCATCGATGTGGCACGTCATTAAATAGGAATTGAAATATTGATTCCTATAAATAAAGTGTCGTGTTTCATTATATCACGGGGTATATACTTACTCTGTTTCAGTATGTTCTGAAAGAAATCAAAGAAATTAAGTAACCATGAATGTTTATAAAACACTATATTAATAACACCGGAATGAATCAATATTTTTTCCATAAAGAAACAGATGTCTAGACACATTACATGCAATAAGTAAAAATTGTTTAAGGTGTTGTCTTAAAATAACAGAATCCTTCAAACAGATATGCACTTACTTGGTTCAGATGATTTCTTCCTACGACGAATCAGGACAACTATAACACATGCAATCAGGATAGTCGCAGATGCTGAACTTGCAGCTCCACCAATTATTGCAGCATTCCAACCATCTGCCTCTGCTACAAATGGATGGAAATGCTTTCATAATATTTACATAACACAATAAATGTATAGGGGAAGGCATGGAATGTTTAATTTTGGTATCGTTTTATTAGCTATTGATATCTTGTTCAATCTGTGTATCTTTCAAATGCGATATCTCCTCTGAAGCTTTGAAATTTGAAAAGACTTTGTACAGAAATACACCTCAGTGAAATGCCTCCTTGTTATCGCAACAACTCGCTTGTTAGCCCGTAATCAGTATAGTGTTAGTATTACTACATGTTATCAGTATGATGTAACTGGGCTGAATATCATGTTGAGTGCGCTAGGAAGGTCCATCAAGCATATCCTGCAGTACGTTTACACACATGCATTACATATAACCTTAATCATCATATGCCGTTAAATGGACGTTGAACCGTTTAAAACCAAACCAACTCAAACCCTTTATCTATTTTTGGGTTAAAGTTATGTATCTGTCACCGGACTTACTGCGTTAATAAAATAGTTCATACAGCGGACAATGAAACAAAAAATTTAAATTCATAATAGATTGGAAAACACATTTTTAAACTAAAATGTTTGTTACTATATGTCAAGAATTTTACCTGATATTGTACTGAATGTACTAGTGATGGGTTCACTTGTTCCCATTGCGTTGCTTGCAAAGACAGTAACGTCATACTCCGTTGATAAATCGAGATTTTCAACTGTGAATGATGAAATTGAATGGTTCAGGGTGATATTTGTGTGGAATTCACCGTTGTTTTCCTGACAAGTCAATGTGAATGTTTGAATATTTCCGTTGTCCTCCCCGGGGGTCCAAGATACGACGGCACTGCTTTCCGTGATTTGATCAATCAAAAGGCCTGTAGGGTGATCTGGCTTGTCTGGAAAGGATTATTTTATATTTACAAATATAACAGTCTGGAAAGGATTATTTTAAATTTACAAATATAACAATCATTTCTTAAAACAAGTTTGTGACATGCTGCTTGTTTGTCTTTTTATATCTTTCATGATATTATGACATTATATGTGTCTTCTATGTTTTATTTTGATATAACTATGAAACAATTAACATCAATATCAACATACACATATAACCAATAAATCGATTAATAATGTATCCACACATTATGTTTCTTTCGTTGCAAGATGCCCATTGCCCTCAATATATATACTGGGATTATAATTTACATATTAGCTCTAGAAAACATGTATTTTTACAAAACCTAAAACTAAATGCATCATTGTATGGTGCTGATCATTCAAACGCACACATCTGTACCTGTTAGAACAATACTGAATATCACTAACAAAATGGAGATGACATAATCAAATAAGGTAATTTAATAACGCGGTCTTAATTTTGCTGATAGTTAAACCTTGATCTTTCAGTATCTGAAACGTTCTACCGTGGACTACTTGTAATAATGATGGAAATTTGATGTTAATGTTGCACACTAAACGGCTTGTTTTTCTTTAAAAAAAAAAAAACATTTCTCACATGAAATACAGGGAGTAGTCATATCCACATTGCTATTTGGTGATGAAAGACCGTCCAGATACGACGTATGTTTGTTGCATAGGACCGTGTTAAAGTTATGGTATCCTGCATTTACAAACTGAACTGTATTCATATTCATTTGTTTTTTTCACTACAACTTGAAAATTAAAATGGTATACTCACCTGATATAATAATTTCGAAGTCGTAATAGTAAGTATACTCATTCCAAACATACAGCTGATAGCGGCCCTGGTGTCTAGTCTCAAACGTGCTGAAGTGTAGCTGCACGATGTAACCGTCAATCGAAACGTTCTTGTTAAAGAATAGCACCGTCACTGGAACGGACGAGACCGTGACAGAAAGTTCACCCTTTGGAGGTAAAGTAGAGCCTCCACGTAAGATGGAAGTGTTCAAAGCCTCAGGGAAACTGATGTAAGTAATGTTGATGTCAAGAGAGGTGCCTTTGTCTGTTACATATGTATTATGTACACTGATTGCTTGTGGTCTGCCTAAAAGTCAAAGAATAGTAGTACACAACACGCAGCTGATCATCACAACATATTTTATAAATTAGGCTTATTTTGACTGTTTGGCGGACAGTGATTAAACTACCTGTCATTTTTTATTACTGTGACCTATATTGGAATGAAGATTAACATGTGTATCAACGAGCATCATATTTTAAGATAAAGAGAAATATTCTTTGTAATATTTGCAAACTAGACATTAAAGATACATGTTGTAGAATCCATCATTTTATTTTGATAGACAACATATCATCTTTAGAATACATCGTTTTATTTTATTAGGCAACGCATTATTTTTGAAATACACCGTATTATTTTGGTAGACAAAGTATTATCTCTATTTGTACCAACTCTGGTTTGGTTTGTTTGTCTTTTACGTCCTATTAACAGCTATGGTCATTTCAGGTCGTACCTGGTTTTGTTGGTGGAGGACAGCCGGAGTTCCCAAAGAAAAAAACACCGATAATATGTACTTATTGGGTGGGTATCGAATGTTTTGACTCAGAAATAAAGTCCCTAGGGGTGGGGGGAAACATTATGAGGCAATATTTTTATCATGATTGTGTTTGTCTCTTGATGTTCAGCAATTGTTTACATGGTTATAGAGCGGGGATCTCGAAAATGTCAAAATCTAAAATTTCTATTTGACCCCACACCCCAGAACAAGTGTCAGCATTTAACTGGAACAATTTTGAATCATCAACCAGCAAAGAATGCTCCAAACTAAATATGGTTGATATTCATCACTTTGTTCCAGGAAAATAAAGCCCCTTTAAACAACAAAATTACCCTTTTTAGGCCCCGTACCTCAGCCCCAAAGGGAGCCATACCGTCTGTTTATGAAAACATTATGTCCCCGTTACCAAAGGATACTCTACACCAAATTTGGTAAGTATCCCTCCCTTCAAACAGAAGGAGAAGCATTTTTAACATTTTCTCATTTGTTCTCCCTAATGGCCCCTCCCCTCTGCTCCCAGAGGAAACACGAACTTCGTGTATACAAAATTGAATTCCTCTTGACCTTCGGGAATGTGATCTTACAAAATGATTCAACAAAAATTCAATTATCTGACAATAATTGACACAGTTTTGCTATGTTTCAAGGGACGACAGAGGTACGGCTCTTCAAATAATAACTGATCAAGAAGTTTATAATCGAGTTATGCTGTAAAGATCACGACAATTTTGGATATATTCCTGTATAATAACAAAACTGATGTAACGACCAATTGCGAACAGACTACGTTATCTAAAATATGAGTTCATAGTCATAAAAAGAATGCTGTTGGAACAAATACGAGGCGGCTTTTCGTGTCAACAACATGCTGTATTGACTTTGTTTTTATATCTGTTATATTTTCCTATTATAACTATGTTCGATTGTAATGTAGTTTAAGTTCAACATTGTAAAATACATTTAGCTTGGCGTTCATATATAATAGAAAACAAAGTAAGTTGTCAAAAACCAGAAAACCTTTTTAGAACAAAACATAATAGTGTTACCTTTCACATACAGGAAGTCTTGTCGTGTCTGTGCAATCTGACCATCTCTACCCCTGTATCCATTGCTCGCCTCACAAACATAGGTCCCCATATCCTCGTATGTCACTCTTGGAATGGTAAGTGTACTAACTGACCCTAAACTCGTCACCTGGTCAAACATGTCCCTAATTACTGTAGATCCTAACATGTGTTTCCACCTGTATGTGTACTGGGAAGGTACACCACTAGCTATACAAAACAGACGAACGTTTGTTGCGTTTTCTGTTGTGTTGGTGATTATAAGGTTTACATCAGGTCCGTCTAAAAAAAAATATCTGGTCTGTTACAGTAGGACACAATCTTTGATCTAAACATATTATCAGGGTAGCACTGGAATGCTTTAGGATAGATTCACATATTATTTTTGTTTATATGATATACCCCGAGACCCGCTGATGCGACTTCATAGGGCAGACAGATACAGGTTGTCTTTTGGATAACGCGATTAACATCTGTGTCCAATATACATTGACTTGTGACTATCATGGGCGTACTGAATCCTCTGTGATATGGTTATTTATTTATAAAATATATGTTAATGCACATCTAGTTTCAATTGCTTAATGAACCAGGAAAAACAATACTGAAATGAACAGCGATAACAGTAAAACATATATCATGTCTTTGTGTATCAAATGCAAAGGGTAATGCTTGTTTTTAACCTTTATTTGTATCAGAAAAACATCCTTAGACAAACGAGAGATGAAACTCAAATAAAATCAGCATAAATGATCTCGCAGAAAGGTTCAGCACCATTTTCATCGTAGCATCATTTGTTTTACTCACATTGGACGACAAGCATAAACCGCTCCGTAGATTGTAGATTCTCTGTAAAACCTGCCGTTGCAGTACATACATAGCTGGCCGCGTCTGTTCTATCTATCCTGGGGATGCTGAGTATCCCGTTTGACTTCTTAAAAGTTGTTCCACGATACCAGGCCACACTAGGAGAAGGGTTACCTTCTGCTTTACAAATCCTGCGAAAGTCCACACTCTCGTTGATGTAGGCAGTAGAACTGTCCAGAGTAATGATGGGCTTGTCTATAATGAAAATAAAAATAAACACTGAGGTTGTGGATCAAGAAGCATTTTACCGAGAGACTCTCATCGTCTTTCAGTTTTACAAATTATTCCTAGAATTTTAAAGAAATGTATACCAGGAAATCATTTCCACCTACTAGCGAACCAGGTAAAATGCACAAGGTAGCACTTCTGATGCTACGGAGGTTTTAACATCAGCTATTTCGTCAATGATGTTTCCTCGACGACCTTAAATTTAAAGCGTGACATAATAGCGTTAAATTATAACCGAGATTTTTGTCAGTGTAAATAAACTTGCGTGACATCAGCTCGGCAATTATCTATGTAAAATGTTCTCCTCGACAATATAACCAGATCAATGTCGCGATCATACTCTTTAGCTCGATCATCGTGCAGATGTGTCGTTAAATTGCGTATTGTAAGGCATATAAAAGCTCGGGGCAGATCTGAAGTAGCGCTTACCTGAAATCACCCTGGCATTAAACGATAACAAATATAGTTACCAACTTAAATATTAATCTCGAAAAATATGATTTTTGGAAAAAAATAAGGGAGCTTTACTGTCATCTTTTCAGGTAATGTTGGTATCTCTTTTAATATTAATACGAAAAACGTAGCTCGTGACTGGTGTGCAAATATGATTTTGATTTTTTTCGTATTGTTTTACGGCCGATCGACAATGCCAGTCATTTAGGGCCAAACAACACCATAAAATAGACATTCGTGAAACCGAATACGTCAAAATCGAAATAAGAAAAGGTTGAATAAGTTTACAAATGCAAAACAAAGGCATGAACAGTGAACAAATGTATTCATATATAGAATCAACCAACAGATTTTGAATGTTATGTATGCATGTATTTAGGTGTGTATGTATATGTGTATGTATGCACGCATGCATGCATGCATGTATGTATCTATGTGCATGCACGTATGTATGTATGTATGTACGGTGTCTCCTATCATCATTGGTACTGATTTAATTCTTATGTTCCTAAAGCATGTATGTAAATATTCATAGTTCATTATATTGCTATTGTTTGATATGTACCTCCTGGGAGAGGGCTTGTATAGGCTTTGCCTGTTGCCCAATTCCCATTAAATCTGATTGATTTAATAAAATATTTTGAAATGAAAACTCCCAATTGTATTGTTATATACAGTATATCAGATTTTATTATAAAGATAAATTGAGAGTATATAATCACAAATTGATTGAACAGAAACGGTTCTTAATACACTTGTGATAGACGATGCATGATAGAATCTCTCACGCATTCATTTATAAATTGTTTGACTGTAAATGGCTAATCACACGAATGCCAATACGGTTGGTCTTCTTTATGTAAAATGTAACTATGAATGACGCAGGTATGGCCTATGCGCAGTCGCGAGAGGATAACTTCAACTTTGCGGTCTGCTCTACTTGTTGAACTTGCCCCTACGTTAGGTTGAATTTCAAATTTATTTTCCCAGACCATGTATTTTGCAAATTTGTTTTAATAATATTCGCGATTGAAGGCCTAAAAATACCAATAGGGCAGTTAAATATCTTTTGTGTCTAGGTAAAGAGCTGCTTTAGCAGCCTAATCTACTTACTCATTTTCATCATGGACGGGTAGCCACATGCTTATCAGGTTGATGCCGCCTTTGCTATCCATGTCTGACATCGCTTCATATCATACCAAGCGCTTACAACATTTGTTGTACTAGTTATGTATGCCGAATTAAGTCACTTCGTGACTGTACTCTTCAGTTAATGTTGAATTGTTCTCTCTGTGTTTGAACGTTTTTGTTTAGGGTCATTAGCATTGTCTTTATGTTTTGTTTGCATTTTTATTTTTACATTTCAGCAGTTTAGANCCCCCCCCCCAGATAATTCGACGTAGATATCGGATTGAATCCCTAGAAACAATCAGAACCTGTTTTGTGATTTCCATGATTGACTAACGCAGGAGTTATGACTTTTCCAAAACGAATAATTCAAATAATATCATCCTCCAATCATATCTATCTGACAATGACATGCTTTCAAACTGTAAAGTTTAATGGTCAATAAGCTAGTTTATTACTGCATGGCTCACCGACGGGGAATTGTTATCGCGCCTGACAACAATAATACGGGACAATTACTAAACATATTACACCAAAAAGAAACTGAACTATAAAGGTTAAAAACTATATCCATAATTAAGTACATAGAAAAAATGGTAAGATATTACCACAACAGGCCGAAAATGGTTAGATATTATCACAAGAGGCCCAGATGGCCTGTATCGCTCACCTAGATATACCAAAATAAGATCCCGAGGATAGGGCTGGACACCAAGGTCAATCCTTGTAGCATATCTGTATAGTAGGGTCAATGCCAGCAATTGTATATTTAGTTTTGGGGTGGGGATCTCAAAGGTTTCAAGGTTTTGACCCTGGAACTAAGCATCCAAGGGTGGGGCCCTATGGTTGATAACCATTGCTTAGTTTCAGAGAAGTCTCTTAAAGTAATATAGCAAAATAACCTTTTTTGCCCCGCCCAACGGGGTGGGGTGGGGGTGGGG